CGGAGTGGGTCGGAGTTCGATCCTTGCGCGGCCTCGTAGGACGCCGTGGAGTCCCAAGCGGTGGCCGTCACGGGCGCAGGACCCTCGCGGGGTGTCGCTGCACCTCCAGGTGTGGCTCCCCAGGGTGTCTAAGGACACCCCTTGGTCCTGGACATGGTGAAGCGCTGGTGGTAGCTGACAGGATCCCAGAGGCGCAGGAGATCGAGGGAAATTCTTTCCTGAAGGCCGGTCTCCTTTTCCCGCTTAGAAGAGTCGCGTTACACCTTCTTGTGGCCTTGGAGCTGCTGTGGCGCTCTTTGGTGGGCAGCTGCCCGTCTCTCACGCTGCTTAGCGCCAGTGGGAGTGTGCCGACTAGGGCACAGCTTGCCAGAGTAGGCAGGGAGGTGAAACAAGGGGGCCTGGAGCTTCAGGGCTCCAGTGTAAGGTCCTGCCTGTGCACCATGGGAGTCTCAGCGTGCTACTCTGGTGGAAGCTATTGCCACTCCACACCGTCAGCCATGATGATGGAGGCAGCCACCATTGCTATGGCAGCTATGCTGTGGCTCCACCATAGCATCCCCAGGCCTTTAGCATGCAGAGAGGAGAGCCTGCTTAGGGAGGTGGTGGTGACAGACATGTGCTAGCACTGCTTCTGTGGGAGAGGGTGCCTGTGCTGCGTCTCGGTGGGGTAACTTGAATGCAGTGGTGGGGATCATTACCAGCAAGTGTTGGGAGCTGAGGGGTAAGAGGCTGCCTGGCTCATTTTGCAGTGTTTCTCTTCAATTTCATGTTGGGGCAGGTGGAGATGAGCTGTCAGTTTACACACAATCATTTAGGAGATTTAGACCATGTCTGGTTTCACCAGCTGTGTTATTTATATCCAGTTCAGGTTAAAGCTGGGTGCTTCCCCTAGCCCCCTCGCAGCAAGGGCACAAAGCAGCAGTAAATGGTTTTTATGCACTTAAAGCTTTCCTTGTGAGGAGGGAGAAACAGGCTGTGCCATATACAGCTATAAAAACCACTATAAAGTTATGTTTCAGTGCTGGGAGATAATGCTGGCTAAAATAATAAATTCTTCCAAGCCAACCGGAGAAGCTACTGCAAAGCTTAGGAGTTAGGGAGGTATTGCATGCTTAAAGGAACTAAATGCTGAAGATTTAGTAAGTTGCTAGTAGTCTCTGGATCTGCTTTATGTCCATTCACTTAGTATTTAGGCCCCTAATCTGCTCGTTTGTTGCTTACCTGTATTGTTACGTACTTATATATCTGTAATAAATCTGGCTTTTCCTAAGGATAATGTTCAAAGTTCTCCTAGGAGTAATACCTGAATTCACTTGAGTGAGGCGAGGTTGAGTTCAAGTTCAGGTAGAAATCTATTAGGAATAGAACAGTCCAAAATGTGCCTTTGTGGAAACTTCATTCTGGGTGGGGGGACAGGCCAGTGGGGTGGCTTACCTACCCCTGCCTGCTCAGGAAAGGCACCTCTATGCTACTGTTGGAGTGTGCATCCTGCACTCGTTTGGGTGGTGCTGGGTTTGATTTTTTTTTTTTTAAATGAATGGTGCCTGGTGGTGTTTGTACTGACTCCTGCTTAATGTTTCTTTTGAATAAGGACTGGGACTTCTCATCTTCTGGTGTCTTCTCCGGGCTGAAGATTGACCCTGATACTCTAGTAAAAAAGCTTGACTTGGACTCCAGAAGCATCATTTCCTTCAGAACAGGTTTGTTGTTGTATTCTGAATGAGTGCCCTGTTAGGTTGTGAGCAAAGACACTGGGGACTGTATTTGCAGTGGCTGTCAGAACAAGCCCAGGAGAATCGAACCCAAACACAGCTTCCTGTGTTCCTGCAGGGCCTTTTAAAAGTGGTTTCTGTTTGGGGTTGGAGGAGGCAGAAAGGTATGTATGTGCTTACTACTCCCTAAGTGGGGAACTAGCTTCAGGCTACCAGATGGCTGCTGGGCTGTGCCATGCAGCTGGAGCCCCAACCTGTGGGATGTCTTCCATGCAGCCAAAGGCTTCTGGCCCCCAGGGGCTGAGGGGACAGCAGAGGCCAGGCTGTGACCTGATCTCTGGGCTTCTCTGTGGCTGGGTTTTGCTCCCCCGCCGCCGCCCCTCCTACCC